TTTATGTTTATTCTGCTGATACTATTTATAGTTATCGATAACCTTCGACTGGGTGTGTTACTCGAGTGTCTCCTGCACCAAGAAGAAGTTGTCACGGGCTATGACTAGCCCGCACCTGCAGTCGCTATGCCTGGAGCTCTAGGTGCAGGGATCAGTATTGCTATGATAGAGGGTGCCCATACTAGCGCAGGAGCTGCCACACTCGCCCGGAACGTCCCCTTCTGGGGCCGGTTCTGCAGCCCGCGAGAGCTGAGAGCGGGGGGCCGTGCCGCGGGTGCCTACTGCCGAGTGCCACAAACACTGCGCCGTCCCGCCATCACCTACAGGCTGTCTTGTGTGATGGTTGGGATGTCCAAACGCCACCATCTTGGCTCTTGCGACCTCAAACCCTCGAGCTGTATGGGTGGTCCTGACGTCGACAGACGCCCGATGACCACGGTGAAGCTGAGCCGGAACGAGTCGACAAGTCTCGTCTGAGCCCGTGGCGGTCGCCGGCTGAGTCGCTGTGCACGGGCCGGTACCTCAGGCGTCACCTCCGCAGCCTCAGGTCTCAAACTCCATCACCTCCGACGGGACGCCTTCGGTGGCACGCTCGGCGGCGTACTTTCTGCAGCTCCATCTCGAGAACGGCATCGAGCCTACTCGCTCCAGTTGGTTCGGCACACTCGGTGGGCGCGCCCACCGAGTGTGCCGAACGCGCGAGCGGTGCGTCCCGGCAGCCCGCGCTAGCTGCGGAGCTGCAACAAACTCGAGACGCGACATGTGAGACGGCGCTCTCGTAGACGGAGAGAGAGAGAGCACAACCCCCCGGCTGGCGGCGCCCGCTCCAAGCCGCGAAATCTGAGGTCGCCCCGCCCGCCTGCGCCCCCGCGACGGCCCCGCAGCGGCCGGGCCGGCTGCCTTGGTGGGCGGGGCACCTCCCGCTGCCGCGTCGCGGCCGCGGACGCGCTCGGAAGCACACCGCGGGCCTCTGCCGCGCGCCTCGAAAGCGTCGCCGCTCTCGACGCGCGGAAGAGCCGGTCCCATGCGTCGGTCCGAGCGTCACGCACCCCCGTGCTCGGTCGCAGGCACCTACTCGACGGTCGACGAGCTCGCCGGCATGTCGCCCGCGCGATACGCCACTCCTGATCCCGATGACGACGGCTACGACGAGGACGTGCCCGCGCCGGCAGCCCCTGCCGCCGACGACGATGCCGCGCCGGCCGACGAGCCTGTGGTCGGCGACGCCGACGGCGGCGGCGGCGGCAGCATGGGCAAGGCGCGGCGCTGGGCCAAGGTCTTGCCCGACCCATCGTGCTGCCCCGCGCTCCCGCTGCTTCTGCTCGCGCTCATCGGCACGGTCGCCTCCGTGTTTGTTCTCGCGTCCGTTCGCGGCGCTGCTGCAGTGTGGACCAGCCACTCCATTGACGCTGCTGCTGGCGCCTCGACCCGAGGCGCAGTCAAGGACAGGAGCAGCGGCGAGAGGCAGCGAAGCAGTGGCACGGACGCAGCGAGCGCGCAGAGGCAGAGCACGAGTAGTCGAGCAGGAGAGGCGGCCGCACGTGCGAGCACGAGCACTCGTGTGCGGGACCACGTTGGTCGCATGTCGAGCTCACCTCGCCTCGGGCCTTCGGCTCGGACACAGTTTTGTAGAGAAACGCGAGAAAAACGGCCGGGTACCAACGAAGTACCCCTTCAACCCCTGTCCCATTCGCCTCTCTGATATGCCAGGACAAGACGGGTACGGAGCCCGCACTGAAGGGGCTACTAGCCTCTCTCGACTAGGCTTTTCTTTTGACTACGCCGCCCTCCCCCCCCCACACACACGTACACCTGACGTACACGTAGAGCTAAAAGAGCCTGGCGTCGGTGCTAGGCTGTGGCTCACGCGACACTGCCCCCGGACGTGATCGGATAGTGTGAGGCGCAAGCGGCTGTTGAGGGCGATGTTTGCAACCTAACGGAGGCGAGTGTAGCGGTGCGCTGTGCCGGCGCCGGTGCTGATGTGACTACTCCAAGAGACCGTGTCGATTGAAGACTACTCATGACAGAGTGAGAGAGTGTATGCGCGGGTGGACGTCGGCGAGAGGCGTGATGTGGGATGGCGCACCGGTCGCGGTGGTGCGGACGCCGCGCAGCCGTGAGGTACTCGATGAGTGGGCCGCCGGGACAGAGCCACACCTGCGCAGGCAGCAAAGGTGGGCGGCGTGAGCGCGCGCGGTGCCGCGCTCCACGGTGTGCGAGAGTGCCGGGCCGGGCGTGCCCCCATCAGCGATGGAAGCTCCAAGCCGGCACAGAAGCTCCGACACGGGCGTCTGCTGGTTGCGCGTGTCGACGAGCGGGCCCGAGCGAGGCCGCAGAGGAGGAAGAACGTCGGTCGTGCGAGCGCTGAGGACAAACGGACGGCTGAGTGAGGGACGGCAGTCATACCGGCAATAGTCGGTGTGCGGCGGCGGTCGCTCGGGGGCGGAGGCCGGCGGCAGGGAGAGAATCGGGCGAGAGCACGGAGCACGCCTACCGTCGAGCGAGAGCAGACATCTACAGAGAGCACGTGCGGCCGCGCCGGGCCGCCGAGAGGCGCACCTGGCGCAACTCGAGCGTAAGTGACCGTGGCGGCAGCCGCTCGGCGCTCGAGGCGACCATCCGACCGCCGGGCGTGCCTCTGGCGCCGACTCGGCGCCGTCGGCGACCCCGCGCGGGCCAGAGTCATGTCGAGCCGGGGCTGAGCCGGCGGTGGCGGACGCTTGGATGCACGCTCCGGGGGGCTGCCGGGTCGGATCGGCCTTTCGGGCGCCGCCGCAGCGCCGCGGAGGCACTGTTCTGGTGAGAACACGCGCCACTGAGGCCGACTGAAGTTGCACGCCCAGGCCAGCCGGGAGGGTCGCTCAAGCGGATTTCTTTTCGAGACGGAAGCGCAGAGCTTAAAGTACGCAGAAGCCGCCCTTGTCAGACTGCCCGGTCTATTTAGGCTAGCGCAGAGCGTCACGCAGAGACACCTCACTTGACCTTCCTGCCCGCCCCGGGGCTGACCAGCTGCCGGATGCCCTCCTGCGGGCTCACGTCCCAGCTCTCGAGGTGGCGCACGACCAGGCCAGTCGCCGGGTCGAAGACGTGCTCCACGCCCCACGGCCACGCCAGCACCGGGCTCCACGGCAGGCCGAGCCGCAGCTTGACCAGCAGCTTCGTCTTGTACGACGGCGGCACGCCCGCGGCCGCGTCGCCCCGCTCGATCTCGGACGAGAGCGTGCGCGTCGACGACTCGGTGATGAAGCCGCCTGCGCGGCCAGCCACCTCGGCTGATCCAGGGCCAGCTGGGATTGCAAGCGGGAGGGCGTCTCTCACCCGCGAGGTTCTCGAGGTTGGCGACGAAGCGGTCGCGGCCACGGAACGCGACGAACGGGTCTGCGAACTCACACTGCTCGTCGTAGAGCGCGACGTCCATCGCGCCGGTGAGAAAGTAGGGCCGCGGGTCCCCCTGGTGAACAGTGCGACCCGAGCTGAGTGGATGAAGACGACTCGTCAGAGGAGGGCCGCGGGTCCGCCTCGCTCCCCTCGTAGTCAGCCGCCAGGCGCTCGATCGCCTCGTCCAAGTCCTATGGTGGCACACTGAGTGCGCGTCCTCTCTCGAGTGCGAGTCGGTGCGCGCGGGGCCGCATTCATCTAAG